CCTCCCCCTTCAGCCCCGGCGCCCGGAGGGTCCCCTCAGCCCTCCGCCCTCAGCCCCCCCGCCCTCAGCCCCGGCGCCCGGAGGGTCCCCTCAGCTCCCCGCCCTCAGCCCCGGCGCGGCGCCGGGAGGGTCCCCTCAGCCCTCCGTCAGCCGGGCCGCGTCCGCTGCTGAGCTCAGCCCGGGGTGGCTGTCGAGCTCGCCGCCTACCTGGAAGGAGCACGGGCCGCGTCCACCGCGCGCTGCGGAGAGCGCGGAGCCGGCGCAGCGAGCGCCTCGCAGGAGCCCCGAGCCCAGAGCCCGGAGCCGCCGGCCACACCCAGCCCCGCGCCTCCCAGCAGCAACTCCGCGCGCGCCGGGCCGGGCGGGGCGGGGCGGGGCCGTATCGGGGGCGCGCAGACCCTCGGAGCGCGCGGCCGCGGGGGGGGGCGCAGGGGGCGCAGGGGGCGCAGGGGGCGCAGGGGGCGCGCGGCTTCTGCTTCCCGCTTTCCGTCTCGTTTCCTGCCGCAGGGACAAGAACGTCCACTCCGCGGTTTCGTTTTCTCGGCGTGCGGCGCCCGAGCCCGCCGCTGAGCAGCGCCCGTCTGAGCGGCGCGGCCCGTTTCCTTCCCGGCGCTGGCGGGCGCCGCGTGGCGGGAGCGGGACGAGGGGCGGGGCTGGAGAGCCGACTTCCCCGAGGCCCCCGCGTTCCGCACGCCCCGGACTCCGCCGGGCCGAGTCGCGCCGCCGCCGCCAGCCGGACACCGCGGGCGCCTCGGGCCGGAGTTTCTCATCCGCAAACACGGCTCGGGACGCCCGCCTCAGCGTTACACGCAGTGACGCCGCCCGAAGCCGCCGCCAAGCGACCGTCCCGCGTCTCCGATGACACCGGGGCCTTGCAGACCCCCTCCAAGTCGCTCTTCTCTGCAGGGGTTTACACCACGTGCATCTCCATCGAGGGGTTCCCCCCCCATTTTCCTGGGTGTTTGATGTTTAAAATGTCATAAAATAAATGCATCTATCGAATTTGCTTCCTCTGTAGTCATTACGGCCTGGGGGCATTTCTCCTCTCCCCACCCCCATTTTTCTTCGGAGTTCATTCCAGTTTGACAGACTGTTGCTATAGCATTCCTTCTCTGACGTCAAACACTTTAAAGAAACAGCCCTGGGTACCGAAAACTGCAGAGGAGTTTTTGGTGGAGGTTCTGTGCGGAGAGAGGCTTGAACAACATCAGCAGATAACTTAATACCCCGCAGCCTTCCAATGCTTCCTCTCCAGCTGCTTCCCACTGTCACCTGGATCAAGTCTATGAGTCCCTTGAAAGAGGCGACGCCATGATAGGCACACCCTGATGGCGACTGCGGAGAAAATGTGACGGTCTTGTACAAAAGCCAGGCCACGACAAACAGCAACAGCCGTGGTCCTAGGATAAAAAACTGGGTACTTTCTAACCCAAAATTTTCATTGTCACTAATATTAGGAGCATTTTTCTATTCAAAAGAAAGGGGAGAAATGCCAAATATTCTGCATATCGAAGTGCCAGAAGAGCTGGTTGGGACATTGGTGTTTTGCATCTGTAACTATTTATGATTTAATTCTTCAATCATGACCTTTATCATTGTCATTTAGGAGGAAGCAAAGGGAAATAGTTGCCTTGGTCCATAAATTGCCTATTATGAACCAAGCTCTCTGCTTTCTTATAGTTAACTTAATCCTCATAATTACCTCGAAGTGTGAGTTTCATCCCCATTTTACAGATAAGCAAACTGATCCCCTAGTAAGATTAATTTATCAGAGTCACGAAGGTACTGCCAGAGCCTTGCATAACATCAGATTGGATCAACTCCAAACACCTCATCCTTCCTTCCTTTCCTTCTTTTCTTCTTTCTTTCTCCTTTCTCTTTCTTTCTTTTTCTTTCCTTCCTTCCTTCCTTCCTTTTTCTTCCTTCCTTCCTCCCTTTCTTTCTCTCTTTCTTCTTTTCTTTTCTTTCTTCTTTCCAGTCACTTTTTCACCCAGGCTGGAGTGCAGTGGCACAATGTCGGCTCCACCTCCAGGTTCAAGAGATTCTGGTGTCTCAGCCTCCCATATAACTGGGATTACAGCCATGTGCCACCAAGCCTGGTTATTTTTTTGTATTTTTAGTAGAGACAGAATTTCACCATGTTGACCAGGCTGGTCTTCATCTCCTGACCTCAGGTGAACCACCTGCCTCAGCCTCCCAAAGTGCTGGGATTACAGGCGACCATGCCCGGCCCCATATTCTTTCTTCAGATTCTTTTCTGTCTTGTTCCTTGAGCACTTGCATTTACCAGATGCTATAATGCTTTGAGAGGTGGTTGTTGGGTTAAGGTTATTTGTTGAAAAACAAGTTGTTGGTATTTAGGAAAACCCAGTGGGAAACACTGAGATCATGTATTCCAGAAAAGATGAGGGGAAATATAAATGAACAGTTCCCAAACAGTTCCCAAACATAAAATACAAAACCAGAAAAGATGTAACAAGAATTTGACGGTCTTCTGAAGAGCTTAGAAGAAATGATAACATTAACCTTCCTGAAAATTTAATGTAGACAAAGAAATTACTAGAAGAATGAAGTCCAAGTACAGAAAAAGGAAAGTTTAATTATTGTCTAAACAAATCTACTTCTAATAATATTATATTTCTGTTTTGCCACACCTGCTGCATATTTTTCTGGGAAAAAAAAAAAGCAAAAAAAACTTACTTGTTAAAGGACAAGCCTATACTGAAAATCTGAAAGTAATCTGAAGGTGGAGCCGATTAAAAGAATTTTATTATCAGTAACAATTTCATAACAGAATATTAATGCATCTGAGTGATCTAGCAATTCATAATTTTTCCAATTATAATGAAATCCATAAAGAACAAAAGAGAGAAAAAAAGAAGGAAGGTAGAGAGAAAGGTGAAGGAGTATGCTATTAACGTTTCTGATGCCTGCTGGTTTGTGTAGGCAACTGTAGAGATGTGTCCTTCTTCTAAAGATTAAGCTCCATGATCTTTTGTTTGGGTGCCACTGGCTGATAATTAGATTTCTAACTCATTAGGCCCATGTACTCAAATCCTACTCTATTAAGAGAGCGTGGTGGGGTCCCTGCTCGAGAACCTTTGAAGACAAAATCCTTGTCTGTTTCATCTTTATGTCTCCCATAGTGTTGAACAGAGCATCTTGCACTTACTAGGTACTCCACAAACAAACAAATGAGTGAATGCACTTGGTCACTTGTTTTATGCAAATAACCTCCATACCTCGCCCCATGCCACACACTCATCAGAATTATAGGATGGGAGAAAGTGATCATTGCTTTTCTAGGAGTTCAGTGACAGTTGCTTTTGCAGGGTGTTTTGCTTCACTATGATCAAATTCAGAGAGGCTCTGCTCTTGGTCGTATATTGGATGAATCTGAATGCTGTACTCAGTGAGCTACCCTGTAATCCATAGCGCCTTAGGTCTGTATATCCTGCTTTTAAGTTTGGCCCTAGAAATGGTCTCTCTTTTTTTCTGAGCCTACCTTGCTCTCAGAGAATGCCAAGCACACCAGGAAGAACAGACCCATTCAAGTTAAAATATTTCAGTACTGCCCTGTATGTGTTGTATGCGTTCCATTCTGTTGTGTTTGAAATGAGGCCAAACTATATACATGCAACATCATAAGCACAGTAACAGATTTTCTTTCACCCACAACAACATAAGTTATAAAATATTAAATGGAAATTGTCTAACAGGATCTACAGCACAGTTCCCCAAGGACATGAGAAGCAGTTCCCTAGAAGATCCTGTAAGAAGTCAGTCTATGTGTGGTTTCAGACAGACATCCTTGATACAGAGTAGTCATGCCCAAAGCCTTCCCTCTTGCTCACACACAATGTATTTTCCATATCAAAGTACAGTTTGTGGCTGGGCCTGGTGGCTCACTCCTGTAATCCCAGCACTTTGGGAGGCTGAGGCGGGAGGATCATGAGGTCAAGAGTTCGACATCGGCTTGGACAAGGTGGTGAAACCCCGTTTCTATTAAAAATACAAAAATCAGCCATGCGTCGTGGCAGGCACCTGTAATCCCAGCTACTTGGGAGGCTGAGACAGGACAATTGCTTGAACCCGGGAGGCGGGGGTTGCAGTGAGCCGAGATCACACCACTGCACTACAGGCTAGTGACAGTGAGACTCCGTCTCAAAAAAAAAAAAGTACAGTTTGTGCTTTGAGTCACCTTTGCTGTACTCCTCTGACACTCATGATACAAATCAGTTATAGCTTTTGTCTCTTTACACTCAGGTTCTCATTAGCCATCGCAATTTGGAATCTGTCATCCGCGTGCATCCCAATGAACTTAGGAGAAACCAGTGACAGGCATGGAAGGGGGAAGTGGAAGCATCTAGGCACACCTCTGCTGCTGTAGGCCCTGCTGTTCAGGTCCCTGGAATCTGCTGTTGAAAAGGGACATGGCAAAGTGAAAAACACTAACACATCCGAAGACTTGATTTAGAGCTTTGGCTCTGATACTAAACATCTGTGTGATCTTAACCAGATCTTACCCTGCACACATTCTGTGTTACTGTAATGATATAAAATGAAGGTGCTGAATTCCAATACGATTGACAAATAGAGAACATTGGGGCTGTCTCTCAGTACGGTGTCCAGGGATGACTTCACTGGACTTCAATCCTGGACTCTTGCCCTCTAAGCTTCATTCCATCCCAAGAACTCTTCTAAACACCACGTTTTCAATAGGAAGTCTAATCTGTTTAGGTGAGTAAAAACATGAGCTTAAAAATGAGATGACATATTAGTTATCTACTGCTCTATACATTTCACCAAACCTAGTGGATTAGGACAACAACAATTATTTAATTTGCTCATGAGTTTCCAACGTGGGCAGGGCTTGGCAGACCTGTTCTCTGTTCCATGCAGCCTCAGATAGTGTGACTCTTTTTAATATGGCTCTCTCACACGGCTGGCAAGTTGGTGCTGGCTGCTGGCTGGAAGATCAGCCAGGTGTGTGGGCAGAAACTTAAGTTCCTTTTCACGTAGGTCTTTCCATGGGCTACTTGGAATTCCTCACGTTAGAGTGGCTGCGTTCTAAGAGCAAGTGTTCCAAGAGAACAAGGAGGAAGTGCATAGCGTTTTTATGATAGCCTCAGCAGTCACACAGTGCCGCTTCCACCATCCGTGCTTGGTCTAGGCAGTCACAAATTCATGTAATAGGGACATAGATCTTTCTTTCTTTCTTTTTTTTTTTTTTAAGACAGGATCTCTCTCTGTCACCGAGGCTGGAGTACAGCGGCACAATCTCGGCTCATTGCAACCTCAGGTGATTCTCAGGCCTCCGGAGTAGCTGGGATTACAGGCATGTGCCACCACATATTGCTAATTTTTTTGTATTTT